AATGGCTTCTGACAGAAAATGGGTGCGCAGACCCTTTTAAAGGCATTATTACATCACTGAAGAAAATCAAGATATAGACAAATAGACATTGTTAATTGGCTTAGGTGCTAAGATGTTAGTAAAATGCCCTCCCTATGGGGTGTACCATCTTAAGTCACTATCCTCGTCATGATCATCTCCTCCAGGTTTTAGCGCCATTTTGCTAACATGAGGAGCTCACTCGACGGGAGGGGCCTTTTGGCAGCTATCCATTTAGAGTGTAGCTGGCAGTGTTAGTTTCTCAAGGTTAGGTTTCAAGGCTTTTAGTAAATACACATTTTATCAAAGCTATTTCTTGCTGACATGCAAATTCTATGTTCTATAGACAAAGCTTTCTTGTAAAACTATGGGGGCCTCTTAGAGGTATAGCAAGAGGATTTAAAGGGGCCTTACAGATTTATAGAGGCCTAATAATTCTACAACAGTCCCCCCTAAAATGTTATTTGCTAAAAGACAAAACTTTATTTGTTAGTATCAGAAGATGTGTTAGCCCAAAGACACAGAAACCCCATGACCGCTGACTTAGTGTTAATGCAAAGTGCAAGTCTATCCCTCTCTTGACCCTAACAGGCTGCAGCACATCCGTCAGTACGGTTCAGGAACACTCTTCACTCCGCTGGTAACCCATAGTGGCTTATCCACTACTTCTCCGTACGGCAGTCTACCCATAAAGACGGACGCTGTCCCTGTACTGTCCCTTCCTAGACTTTCTGCACTTCATCAGTATAAGGGAGAGTTTGTAGCGGAATACAGGGTGAGGTGAGATCTTGATCATCGATTGTCAGATGAGTGAAGGTTGGTGTTGCTTGGTCTACAGTTTTCTGCAGGAATTTCCTTAGGCATGGGAGGACACAACAAATGAGAAGAGCGAGAATAAAAAGAAAAATTAGTAAGGCAATACCAATATGGACTAAAGCTTTCTGCCAACTTGACATCCAACCAAACCACCTTTCCCAGGGATCTGTAACTCCAGAGTTTCTCTTTAACTCTTCTGGGAGTCTATTTAATTTAGCTATGGCCAGAGTGACTTTACCATTTGGACCTGTGTTTTCTGGGATTTAAGTGCAACTGCTCGGCCAGGCCCTGGAGGGCATCCCTGGTGTAGTTGACAAAATGCTGTTGGTTGTAATAAATGTAGTTAATCCAATTAAGGTTTTTGTTGGCAGTAACTATAGTGAACAGTGATTCAAAACCTACAGCTACTTCATCTCTAGCTTTAAATTCATTAGGCACCCCCCTAGGTACCCCAATGGCATCTATGTAAATGTGGGGGTCAAAACTGCCTTTTACTGGGGTTTCGCGCCTCACTCTGGCTGGTGTATGTGGAGGGTCGTATGTGTCATGATGATTATCAGAAATAATATGAATGGGCATGATAACTTTGGCTAGGGTACACTCACCCCACCACTCAGTTTCCAGCCTAGATCTTAACTGTAGATCTCCACATAACCAGTAAATATCCCCCAATGACCTGGTATGGTGTTGCAACAGGCGTATAGGAACAGTTCTGTAAGTGGCGCAATAACCTTTAGAAAAATTACCCATGAATTTACCAATCCCGTCATACATGGCATAACAAGTGTAATTACCTCTATAGACTGTGATTCCATCTGGTGGCTTAACATTTTCAACTAAGAGAGGGTATTCTGCCGTCCATGCCATGCAGAGGGACCTATTAAAGTCATATTGGTAGGCAAAAAGGCTTAAGAAGCAATCTTCTATCTCTAAAGGGAGAGTTAGGGGGACGGTGCCAAGGTGGGGTCGGGCACCGCCACATACATAACATGCTGTTTTATTATGTTTGTTGGCATTATACCTCATCCATTCTAACCACAAATTAATGTCATTGAATCCAGTTTCAGCAGCCATGGTATCTTCAAAAGTGGGGTTAGCGATGGCCATCATATCTTTAAAGGACTGGATATGTGGTTTTAGCGGATTTGGGACCATATGATCAGCCCCTTGCCACTCTGGAGAGTGGTACATATCTCTGAGGTAGAAATGACCTAATTTGTTGTAGGAACCTTTCTTCCAATACATTCCCATTACATATCGGTCTGCATCCTCGGGGCCAGGATGTTCAATATTTAACATTAATTTCATAGGGGTACTTCCTCCAGGCTTTCTTAAAGTCATTCTTTGAAGGAGGGATCTACCCTGATTGTCTATCTTAGATAAAGCACTTTTGGGTTTATAACCCCAGGCAGGCCCAGTATTCCATCCCGCAGCCCCCCAGTAGTTACAGTCATAACCCCATTGTTCATCTACTACACAAACGTAAGGGTCTTTTGCTTGTGGTATATCTTTATAAATGGCGTGAATCTGTGACTTAGGGAATGGGCATTCTACAATATCACAGTAATCAAAGGTGAATGTAGCCACGTGGGTACATGATGAATTATACCAGAAAGTGTACCCACTAGCATCTTTGGTAATGTCCACTTGTTGGGCCTCAAGGAAACTAATCAAAGGGATGATGTACCAGAGGTACATGGTTGTGAGGAGTCTGCTTCCTCTGGGACAGGAACCTTTTTGCAATGGGAGGCGTGTATCCAGTTGCTTTTCCCAGCCAACTTGAATGAGGTGGAGGTGATCAGTAGAACTTGGAATGGTCCGTCAAATCTTGGTTCCAGGGTGTGTTTCCGCACAAATTTCTTGACTAGGACCCAATCACCAGGGAGCAGACTGTGGTTGCCCGTATCAGAATCAGGATCTGGAATTGAAGAGAAAACTTGGGCATGGATTTTGTTTAAAGCATTTGCGAGTTCAGTTACATAATCTACTAAAACATCAGTTTGAAGTTGTAGTTGTTGGGGAAAATAGCAACCTAGCCTAGGTGCAGTCCCAAATAGAATCTCATATGGGGACAGTGAGGTAGTATTTTTGTACAAGAGCATTCATTAGATCCTTTGATAAATGTGCAGGTCCGTGTGCCCATTGTACGACTGCTGGGTACAAATTCTTAGGGAGGCAGAACTTGAGGTTGTTGGAGTACACTCCATCCTTCAGAACTGCCCCTTTCTGTTTCCATCTTTGTATTTCTTCAGGAGCAACTGCAGCCTGTTGTTCCCGTAGGGTTTTTAGATCAGTTGGAAGTGTCTGCAAGGTAAATGTGGGAGTTTCTTCGTTTCCGGACACACTTCTGTCCACTTCCTGTAGTTCTCTTGCAGCTTGTTTTGCAGCTTGGTCAGCCAGATGGTTGCCCCTTGCTTTATCCGAATCCAACTTCCCATGTGCCTTTACCTTCAGAATGGCCACTTCTTCTGGGAGTAGGAGGGCATCCATCAGCTCCTTGATTGCAGAACTGTGCTTGACTGGTGTACCGGCGGTGGTAAGAAATCCTCTTGTTTTCCAAATTAATCCGAAGTCGTGAGCCACGCCCAGTGCATATCTTGAATCCGTGTAGATATTGGCGCGCTTTCCTTCAGAGATCTTGCATGCTGAAGTCAGGGCTTGCAATTCAGCTTCTTGTGCAGACATAGTTGATGGTAAAGATGATGATTTGACAATTTCATCTGTTGTGGTTACGGCATATCCTGTATGGTATCTTCCTTCTTCATCAGCATATCTTGAGCCGTCCACAAACAGGGTGAGATCGGGATCTACCAATGGGTCTTCATGCACAGTTGGTAGATGTGTTGTTTCCATTTTCATCTGTTCAAAACAGTCATGAGGTGTATTTGGGTCGTAGTCATTCACTATGGTTAAATCTTGGAACTCATTTTCCAGGAAATGACGTGGCCATGCTTTTAGGTGGTCAGTTGTTGGATATTTGACAACACCATTTTCCTGTAGCTGTGATTCGTCCATAGTGGCCCATGCTTTTGCCATAGGCCCAAGATCATTCCATGATATTGTTTTCAACTTGGTCACAGGGACATGTGGAATGGCAGTGTCCCAATAACGGTACAAATACTTGAGTTCCGGAGGTAGATGAATCAAGACCATACTGTTGCCTTCAGAATCACAGTAGAAGTCTTGTGCAGAGAGTTTTACTTCGACCAGATGATAGAGTTCATCTTCATAGTAGGGTTCAGGAGTGATGTTTGGTTTGTACCACATGGTACAGAAGGCATATCCTGCTCCGTCATGAAGGAGTGCTTGTCCATCATGAAAGGATAGGTTGGGATGCATTTCCTTCTTGATGGTGCCAGTGAGAAGAAAAACATAAGTTTCGTCCATGATGAATCCGTAGTATACACCCCCCTCAGGGAGTGGCAGAAGAGTGGACGGATTGAGAACTTGACATCTTTGAAGGGTAATGTTGTCAGGCAACAAAGGATGACATTGAAGGCGAAGATGCCTAGCAGGAGTAACATGCTTAAGTTGGACCTGGTTGACTATGGCAGAAATGTCATGAGGGGCCAAGACAACCAGGGGGTGGCCAAGGACAAGATCTCCAGTTCTTTCAATGAGCTCTTTGGCAGCAAAGACGGCCCGAAGGCAAGTGGGACGTCCTCTGGCCACAATATCCAGTTGGCAGGAGAAAAATCCAATAGGCCTTTGGCGGCCTCCAGGACCATGGGCCTGAGTGAGTACTCCTGTTGCATGGCCTTGTCTTTCAGAAACAAACAATTTGAAGGGTTTGGTATAGTCTGGTAGGCCAAGAGCAGGAGCAGAAGCAATAGCACGTTTAAGAGTACAGAAGTTGTCAAGGGCTTCTGTGGACAAGCAAAATGGGTCTGACTTGAGAGCATCATAGAGAGGTTGCATAAGGAGTGAGGCTTCTGGGATCCATGCTCGGCAGTAGGAAATGAGGCCTAGGAAGGCGTGTAGTGACTTTGAGGTCCTTGGAGGTGGAATGTCCAGTACTGCTCTAACTCGGTCACGGGTAAGATGTCTGGTTCCCTGAGACAGACAATGGCCAAGGAAAATAACAGTAGGTTAGCAGAATTGCAGCTTGAGACGTGAAGCTTTACATCCTTGTTCTGCTAGGTAGCAAAGAAGATTAATTGAGCATTGTTCTGTTGTGGGTAGATCATCTCCACAAAGCAGCAAATCATCCACATATTGAAGCAGGACGACCTCAGGATGGTCAGGTTGCCATGGATCAAGGATAGAGCACATGGCCTTCGCAAACTGACTTGGTGAATTTTGTGCCCCTTGGGGAATGACAGTCCATGTGTACTGTTGTTTTTCATGTGTGAAAGCAAACAGATATTGGCAAGTTGGATCCAGGGGAACACTGAAGAAGGCATTGGCCAGATCAATGACTGTGAAGTACTTGGCAGAGGGTGGAACGCCGGAAAGGAGAGTGTGTGGCTTGGGCACTATTGGAGTGTCCAAAACTGTGGCTTCATTTACCGCTCTGAGGTCTTGGACCAATCTGTACTTTTCTGATTCGCCTTTTGGAGTCTTTTTCTTTACCGGAAATAATGGAGTATTGCATGGTGATTCACAAGAGCACCCTTCTCCAGGAGTGCTTAAATTTGAATTGTAATGGCTGCAGCTTGAGCTGGTTTCAAAGGATACTGTGATTTTCGTGGCAATTTTGCTCCTGGGATGAGCTTTACCACCACAGGTGGGACCTTTAGATGGCCTATGTCCTCTGGGCCTGTGGACCACAGTTTCTTGGGAACATCAGTCTTTAGTGAATCAGGGAAATTAGTCCTTAGGTCTTTTGCATCCCCATGAGGCTCTTCTAGATGTAGCATCAGGGGTAAGGAGCACAAAGCTGAGGTGTCTGAGACAGATAGAGGGGTGGATAGTTCCACTTGTCCATCTGGAGTAAAGGTGATAGATGCCTGCAGGCGTGAAAGAACATCAGCTCCTAACAGGTGAATGGGGCATGTGGAAGATACCACAAAGCGAGCAAGCAAGTTGTGGCAGTTACCAACCCGCAGTGGGGTGGACAGGGGACTTTGCCTTGGAAGGCCGTCCACCCCAACACAGGAGACATCAATATTGGAAAGAAATGAGGTATCGGGCAGGTCTTGTTCTCTCAGAACACTTCGGGCTGCACCTGTGTCAACTAGGAAAGTGGTGGGCTGGCCCTCAATAGGTAAAATTACAGTAGCTAGAGGCCCCCCTTGTTCCCCTGAAGACACTGCCATAACAGGGGCATTAAGCATCAGTCGGTTCTATCATTATAAATAATGGTTAATAGTAAGTGAAGTAAAGTTCCTATATGTCTTTGGATAAAACATTAACTATTGCGGTACTATCATTTATATTAATTAGGCCATAACAATTATACCACCCTGTAACTAAAATGAATAACCAGTAGTGGCTGGGTAATAAAACATGTCACAAACCCTTCTAATGCTAAACCATCATTTAAAGTAAAGGATGTTACTGTAAACCTACGATCTGTAACTAGCAAGAATCGATTAAGTAAAGATACAATGTTTAAAATAACTTGCATTATTTGGCTATTTCCCTTGTTGCAAGATTAATCTGGATAATCAGCTGTTATGCTCTTATATTCGTGTCCAACAGATCTCATTTGTAGGTCACACCACAGTTGCAAATTACATTTTAGCAACCTTCTTTTTTTTTTTTTTTTTATCACGGACAAATTTCTGATACAGGGAAACAAATGGCATGATTGTTTTAGTAATTATAATGTTTCTGTTCATAATATGTAGAGTGTAAGGAAAACAACATGTCTCTAAATAGGACGAGCATAACAGGGGTAGGCCTCATGATGGAGGCAGCCATGACAGGGGCGGGGAAGGAAATGACAGCAAGGGAGGAAGTGAGAGGGGTGACGTCCATGATATGTGTGGGAAAGGAAGACAGGAGGTGTGGACATGGTAAGGGCGGAAGTGACGTCACTTTAGAAGCAACCGTGACTGTAGATAGGTCACAGGACTGGCAGGGTCAACCTCCTTCTGTACTAGGCGCCATCTTTAGGGTGGTGGCTGATGCACTTTCAACAATACACTATATTATAACTATTAAAATAAGTCAGAGAAGCAACATTCCGTTCTGCAAAATGAAATACTAAACTATGAACAGACCTGGCAGGTTAAATAAGACAGTTGAAAACATTATGCATTTAACAGCCCATACAGCTGTCTCTAGAAACATGTACTTCAACATAAAGGAAAATAAACTCACGGAATTCAACCAATTTCCCTTATCATCCTTGCATAGTTTTGCAACAAATCACGCTTGCCTTTACACTTAACACGTCCAAATATTCCTCTATTCTTGTATCAGATTCACTTACCTCCGTAAATCAACACTGAGCTACATTCTTGTGTCTCCCCCACAATCCTCACTACTTTATCACAAAACACAATTTATATATATATATATAAACGGCAAACGGCAACAATAATAATATTATTACACAATTATAACACCATAACCTTTGAATTAGAATATTTTCCAGCAAAAATCCCGTCTCTAACTCTTATCAGTAGCTCCCGGAAATGTAGGCAAGCGGGGAGGAGGGGGGGGGGAAGGGAGAATGTGAGACAGTGCAAAAAGGGAGAGAGACTGCAGGCATGAAGATTAACCATGTGAGTGCTGTAAAGTAACAAGACAGAAGGACAGAGACTTATACGTTTGGAAACCAGAAATCTTTGACGGGAGAAACGGACTGGAGGTGCAGGGAGCTGCAGAGAGAGGATGAGGGTGACGAGATCTGTAGGACTGATGGGGGGGGGAGAATAGGGATCCATCAGCATTCAGGACTGGGCAAATAGGGGTGGTGGTAGGGTGGGGACCAGGGGTGGGGACCATGGTCAGTTACATTTCGGTCATTGCTGACGCGATGTTGGGAGTGGTCACCTCCTGGGCGCCATCATAGGGCGCTGGCTGGGAGGACTTCCCAGTAACACAATTATTATAATACACAAACAATCTTAAACCTTTGTGATCAATTTCTTCCTCAACCTATCCCTTTTGCTGAATAGCTCTTGCTACTCGGTATCAGGCTTCTGCTGTACGAACCAAATCTTGGTCCGACAGCTTCCCTTTCTTCTCTGTCAGTAACTTACGCCAGCTCTCTGGCTACAATCTGCCGCACGGAGGTACGGTAATTCCACATACTTTAGCAATCTTACTCACTTTCTTAACCATCTCTTCTCCTTCTCTGTCTTCCACTAGATCACATGCTAACCAACCCTTACTGGGTTTATCCAACTTCTGTCCCATCCTCCCTACATAAGGCGTCCCAGATATAGAGAAAGAGAGAAAAGAAGGTCTACAGTGCTCGACTGCTACGTAAGAGTGGGTTCCTACGTACGTCTTCCCAAAACGTAGACTAGTCACTGATTCCGCCTACCCGTGGTAGCCGCGGATTGGAGCGTGGCGAGAAGTGTGTGACCAATCACTTCTCTCAACAAAGAGAAAGAGAAATAGGAGGGGAAAGTGTAAATAGTACAGTGAGTAAGATAAAAGTAAACACAGGAATCTGTGTGACAGACAATTAAGACAATAACATTTCAGTGTAAATACAGTGCATGCATCACAGTTCAAATAAGTTCAACAGTTTTATCCCTTGCCTTTACTCGCGTGGCCAAAAGCCACCTCCCTCAACCTCGTAGTGTCCCCACACGGAGAATGACTTCCACAAGTCTCACTACCAGCAGCCACAGGAAACAGCAACAGCTTCCAACCCGAATCCTGTATAGCCTAAAGAATTGGAATCTTACCTGCCTCAGCGCTCGAGGCTGGAATTTTACCAAGAAGAAGTGTCCGATGAGGCTAGCTAAGCAGTCAAAGCAACACTATGGGGAACCCCCAGGAAGCAGTGAGTCTACACCCCTCCACAGATTCCCCCTACTCTTTTTCCTTACAGCCACAGCTACGTGGCTCCTAAAAGAGTTAAACAGGCAATAGAGGACCCCCAGGAAAACTTCCACAGGTCCACCCCCCTTTTTCCTTACTACCACAGCCACGTGGTACCTAAAAGGAGTTAAACAGGCACTTACACTCCCCGGGTACTAAGTTAAACACAAACCAATACAAACACACCCAGGTAAACTAGGTATCATTAACAATACAAAGACTCTGGGCAAGTTATTACCTGACTTTGATGTCCTCTCGCCAGCAGTCACAGACACTGGGATAGGTCAATCACAGGGGCAGGAGCATACCGGCTAGGTGCTGCAGCAATCTCTACCGTGTATTCAGAGGTGATCAGGCTCTTTTCCTTCCCCCAGGATTCATCCCCCCCAGCATCTTCTTGGACAGCTGCCCAGGCAGGACATAGCCCAGAGCCCCACGTTATGGCGCCAGCTGTTGTAGTTGATTTACTGCAAACCAATTAGTTTGAATGACTATCTGTTCCTGTCCAAATTAAAGATAATAAAGTTGCGTGCACGCAGAAGTAAATTCACACTGAGACACAGAGTTCAGGTTAATGAAAGAACTTCGGAGAAGTTTAATGGCTTCTGACAGAAAATGGGTGCGCAGACCCTTTTAAAGGCATTATTACATCACTGAAGAAAATCAAGATATAGACAAATAGACATTGTTAATTGGCTTAGGTGCTAAGATGTTAGTAAAATGCCCTCCGTATGGGGTGTACCATCTTAAGTCACTATCCTCGTCATGATCATCTCCTCCAGGTTTTAGCGCCATTTTGCTAACATGAGGAGCTCACTCAACGGGAGGGGCCTTTTGGCAGCTATCCATTTAGAGTGTAGCTGGCACTGTTAGTTTCTCAAGGTTAGGTTTCAAGGCTTTTAGTAAATACACATTTTATCAAAGCTATTTCTTGCTGACATGCAAATTCTATGTTCTATAGACAAAGCTTTCTTGTAAAACTATGGGGGCCTCTTAGAGGTATAGCAAGAGGATTTAAAGGGGCCTTACAGATTTATAGAGGCCTAATAATTCTACAACAGTATCATCAGCAAAAAGACATACCTTACCATCAAGACCTTCTGCAATATCACTAATAAAAATATTAAAGAGAATGGGTCCAAGTACAGATCCCTGAGGTACCCCACTGGTGACAAGCCCAAGCTTCGAATATACTCCACTGACTACAACCCTCTGTTGCCTGTCACTCAGCCACTGCCTTACCCATTCAACAATATTGGAATCCAAACTTAAAGATTGCAGTTTATTGATAAGCCTTCTATGTGCAACAGTGTCAAAAGCCTTACTGAAATCTAGGTAAGCAATGTCTACTGCACCACCCTGATCTATAATTTTAGTTACCCAATCAAAAAAAATCAATAAGATTAGTTTGGCATGATCTCCCTGAAGTAAACCCTGTAAGAAAACCTGAAATC